TCAATTCATCTTCAAAAGTATTGCTCAGCCAAGTGAGTTTGATGAATCATCCCCTAAAATCATTGTTTCCATTATTTTCACTAAAGATGAAAATAGAAAATTTTATTCCCATTGCCTGAGTTGATGCTGATTTTCTCTATTAATCAGAACAATGCTAATTTTCAACAAAGCAGATAAACCTTCATAAATAAATGCTGGGCTTTAAGAAAGCAGACCATTTTACATGAAGCCTATAGCCCTGCACCAAAAGTTCATTCATTCATCCAAGTAGTATTTATTGAGCACCTATTCTGAGTATTCTGCATGATGGATGGATGGGGAATTCAAGAAATGTGGTCCATGATCATTGGCCTCTGGAAGCTGGCTATCTGATGGGACAATGAATGAGATATAAACACAAATAATATGAGATGGGGATATAGCCAGTACTATGTGAATGGTACAAACAATAAGTAAAATACAATTATACAGGGAAGAGGCCATTTCTGAGAACAGAAATTTAAAAGAAAAAAAAAAGCCTTTATGGACTAGAGCACACTTGAATTGGGCTTGTAAAAATGACCTGGTTCTTGGTAGACAAAGTGGACAAAAATTGCCTGAGTAGAAGCTCAAGGAAGATGGCAAAACGTGGATTCTGTGAGCAGCAAACAGACCAGTTTGGCCCACGTGGGAAATATAGATAAAAGTCAGCTTATGCGGGCTTCACTGTGGGAAACGAAGTAACCTTTACTGCTTTTTTCATTGGATCCCCATTATCTACCACACAATACTGCAGTTCCTCACTCTGCTCTTCAAGGGCGGCCATGTCCCTTCATATGGGTTATGGACGAACTGCAAAGGTTGCTTACAAAATGGAAGGTTCCTTTCCTCCTGCCATGCTGATTAGTTTGAACTTAGTATGTTTTAGCTATTGAATGAATTAGTTCTGTTTCCGAATTCTGTAAAATTTGGAATTATCTCTGTCCCAGGAACCACACAGTTTAACAGGGGAGATAGGTAAAGGGCTGAGGAGAGGCCCTGAATTCAGGTTTGGCGCAGAAGCCCATGGGCTCGGGTGCAAGGCCTCGGGGCCCAGGCAACTGTCTGGGAGGCCAGTGAGCACAGGCCCAGCAGCCCGGGCCTGAGGCCTTGTGAGGCTCTTCTGTGTCTCACATCACTCTTGCTGGTTGCTTTTGCCTTTCGAGGTGATGAAGGTACCAGAGAAACAAAATAAAGGAGACATAAGAATGGAAAAACTAGTCAAATATCAAAGTGTAAGAGCTAAAGGGAATATTTTCTGGTTGCCACACATTAAATTTTTTCATATAACTATATTGGCATAAAGAATAATTCCTGGGTACATTCCATTTGTCCTTTGTTTCCTCCCTTGTATGATTATATTATTATTGCTGTCATTAAAAGTGCATCCATCAGACCCGGCTGTCAGAGAGTTGCATTTACTTTGTGCCCACAAGCAGTTTTGAGGTAAATCTCTTGCTTTAGGGCATTAGTTGATCAATACAGACATCTATAGTGAGCTATTGTTTCCCACCCCCTGCATGACTCCATTTTCCTAAGGCATTCTGGGGATCTGCTCTTCCTTTCAGTAAGAAGTCCCTCCAGGTGCGATGGGGAGACACAGAAGGTACCCCTGCTAAAGGACGTTCCTTCTGCAGTCCCCTGCCTTTGCAGGAGGGGCAGCTGGTCCAAGGAAAGGCCTTGTAAGAAATATGGCAACTGCTTGTCACCCCCAGCTCTGCAATTTCCTTCAGGGTAGTCTCTGTTCCCTTCCTGGGTTTTAATCCGATCTCAAGTCCCATTTTCATCTTTGATGTTTACGGGACCAACATATCTGCAGTCCAAAGCCAAAACCTCCCTAGGATTGCCTCTAGTTACTCATAAGGAGGGAGTCTGTCTCATTAAATTCTCTATTTTGAAGACTTAGCAGTGACAACACACTTGGCAAGTGGTCAGTATCGCTGAACTAAATTCCTAAAATGTGAGTTTAATGGTTTCTCCTCTATTAAATTATCCCTCCCTCTCTGCCTTTCCCATCTTCTCCTCCCATTCAGCCACAACTCTCTGCTGTCTGATTCTGCTCTGGATTCATTTAGCATACCATATTGTATCGATTTCATCTTCTTGGAGCCATGTCTGCCAGAACCTTCTTGCCAACACCAAACTGACCTGATGATCCTCTGCACCCATAGATAAGGAGACCCTGGGAGCTCACCTCATCATCCTGGAGATGTCCTTTCCTTTCTGTTTCTTGAATCCCACGAAGCCCTTTGGTTTGGTTTCTGCTCTCCCTTTGGTCTTCTAGTACTTTCCTGATCAAGGGTGCATGGGAGGTAAATACTTGTAGGCTTTGCGCGTTGAACATATCTTAATTCTGTCCCCACAGTTGTTTGATCAAGATAAAGACTTCTACATTGGAAATTATTTTTCCTCAGAAGTTTGAAGGCATTGCTCTATTTTCTCTTACTATCTTCCATTGCTGATGAGAAGAAGTCTTCTTACTGATCCTTTGTCTGTAACCTGTTTTTTCTCTCCGTAAGCTTTTACGATCCTCTTTGTGCTTGGGCTCCTGCAATCTCATCATGATTGGAGTCGGCGGTCTACTGACCGTTACTGTGCTGGCATCAGACCCGTACCAGAAGCATAGGCTCTGGGCTCTCGCTTTTCGGATTCAAATCCACTGCCACCATTCTCTAGCTTTCTGACCTCAAACAAGCTACTCCACCTTTGTGCCTCAGTTTCCTCACCTTAAAATGGACAAAAAAAAAAAAACACAACATAGTACCTACCTTGTAAGGTTGTTGTGAGAATTAAGTAAGTTAATATCTGTAAAATGCTAAAGCCAGTGCCTGCCACTTAGAACTACTACTTAAGCAAGTTTTTAATATTTCAAATACAAAAAAAATAATTTCCTAGTTTCACAAGATTTCCTTGACCCTGTGCCTTGAATAGAAATGTTGGCCTTGAGAGGGTGAATGGCTACACAGAGGGAGAGGGCCTGAGTCTCTGACGTGAAATGAAATTTCAACAGGGCAAGGCTGATAACAAAGCGAATGCAAAAAAAGCAAAAGGTGATTGTTATTGCTGGTGAAGCACCCCAGACTATGGATTCTCAACTCAGGACTAGAGGGGTAACAGATAAAGACAGAATCTTTAAAGAAATCTAGTCACCCCAAGTTAGGATTCACATATGCTCCCTGAAAGGGTGTTTTCATTTTTCAATGTAAAAGGGAGTATCAGGACAGAGATTCAGAATGACAGCAAGAAGAATGGGAAGGTGCGCTGGACATTGTGTCTTTACGAATGAGAACTACCTGGTGGTGCTGCTTTCGTTGTCACTCTTTATTAATGGTTAAGCCAGACCAACACACAGGCATCGCCTAATTTCTCTACTAGGAAATCAAATAGATGTTTCCCTCCCTTCTAGGAACCTGAAGTTTGAACATATAAAGAGTTCACAAACTCACGCTCAAAATGACCTACTAATAGGAACGGTAATTCAAGGTAACCGAAGAGCCCCAGTTGAGGGAAAGCTCTACTTTACTGAATACTGCCAAATAATACATTTGGAATGAAAAAAAATTTTTTTAAATCACTATTTTGCACCACTCTTACGAAATAACCAACTTAAAGATCATTAACAGATGCTAAAACCACTAGTTGAAAGGGGATGGGAAAAGGGGTATTTACACAGTGCCAAAGTATTGTACATAAAATACTTACTACTTGCGAAGAGATGTTTACTTTATAATGGAGCGATCTGTGGTCACCAGATGATCCCAGTAATTAGACACCACATCAGTAATAGTGGGATACACCAAAATGTGGATCCCAATGTAATGAATATGAAAACATAAAATCATCCATGAAATATACTTGCCAAAAATCATTACCCTGATTCTAATTAAGCTTTTAGATCTAAATTCCATCGCAGAGGACAGGACACAGAGGAACCAGTTATATGATACCATGAGGAAAACATCAGGAGGTCAGAATGTGTCTTATCTTGGTCAAGGCAAAGTCTAAAGAAAGGGCAAGGAGACTGGTCTAGATTATAAGAGATTTAAGAGATATAACCATATGTAATGCATGATTCTTGATTGGATTTGGGTTGGAAAAGATATTTCGGGGATCACTGGAGAGATCTGAATATGGAATGAGCATTAGACATACTATGCAATCAGTGTTCATTCTTTTGGGTCTCATAATAGTATTAAAGCTATGTAAGAAAAATGTCCCTACTGGGGGAATTACATGCTAAAGCATTTTGGGGGTGGGGTTTCATGATGTAATTTACTTTGAAATAATTCGGCTGGATGAATAGATATGAAGCAGATACGACAAAATGTTGACTGCTGTTGAATCAAGACGGAAGGTTTACGGATACCCAATGATTCCACTTTTCTATCTGTTTGGAAATTTTGTATTAAGAAGTTCAGGGAACTGGCTTGCAGATGCAAAATTGCATAAACCTGGCCAGTGTTTTAGGAGGGGCAGGCATGCGGGTCTCAAAGGGCCACATTTCCACTGGGCTCCCTGGAAGGAGCTTTTGCTCTTTTGAGTTCAACCAGAGCATGGCGTGACAGAGTCATTCGCTCCGGAATGTCTGAGAGTTTGGGAAGAATTAATGTACTTCCCAGAGTGCCCAAGTTATTGTCAGGAATAATAACTCACTGGCAGCATCAGGCTGAATAATTCATGGTACGACTGCAATGGGAATACTCACGTGTGGTGGTTGTTAGTTGGATTTTTCCCCCCAAATTAGGTCACCTAAAGTTATCTCCTTTACATGAGGTATTTTGGGGATCTGTTTTCTTTTTTTAACCAAGTCTTTCTCCCAAACAACACGCGGTAATTGTCCTATTTGCGCACGTACAGATGTAGAATAAAGTCAAAATGCAGAATTGCTTCCTACCATGCTAAATTGTTCTTAAAATATAGTTGTTGCTTCAGAAGTGAGTTGGCCGCTCTTGCCAGTTCCTCTGTTTCCCCCGCAATCCCAGGGAGCTGGACTGTGCCATGTTACGTCGTCTGGAGAAAAGGATTCTGGTTGGTCTCCCCAGCCGGGAGGCCAGGCAAGCCATGATCCGCCACTGGCTGCCCCCTGTGAGCAAGAGCAGAGCTCTGGAGCTGCGCACGCAGCTGGAATACAGCGTGCTGAGCCAGGTAAGCTGCCCTTGAGGGAGCACCTGCAGGCCAAGCAGCCGCCACACCAATCTTCTGGGCAGGGTCCTCTCATGTGCTGTTTTGGGGGCATATTCCTTGAGTCACTTAGAAAGACTTGAGCTGCCCCAGCAATGCGATGTGCCTCTTCTTCATGAGAGGGTGAGCTCTTTGTCCCTCAGAAACATTCACGTGGGGAGAAACAGCACGATGTAGTGGCAACAGCATAGGGTTTCGACTCAGAGCACCCCCTGTCAAATCTGGGTCCTGCCCCTGATCAGCTGTGTGGCCTCAGGGAAACCCCTGACTCTCTAAGCCTGTTTCTTCATCTGCAAAACAGATAATTAATATGCCACAGTGGATTACTGTGATGATCAAGTTTTTACAAATGGAAATGGGGGTACATGCCTGCTACCCTCATTGTCACTGGTGTCACTCCCTCCTGAGTGGACACTTGAACATGTTCTCTGTTCATCTGAATGATGAACATCTGAATGATGTTCCCTGAGGTTTCTCAAAGGCAGGTATGATCTTATTCACAAGAACAGAAGTGTCTACCAAATTTGATCATCCTTGGATTTGGGCACAAGGGCCCCATTAGGCTACCATGGGTGGTCTAGTCCTTCACCAGCATCTTCCAGCATGTATCTGGATGGTGTTAGGAAGTTGTTTACTGCCCAGCTTTTCAGGTTATCCAAACACATAAGCAGCCTCTCTCCCCCTCAAGCATTACAGATCTGGGAATCTTTGTGTAATGTTCATGAGGGACAGATACAGATTCTAAACAGGGGCTCTTTTTAAAATTTATTTACATTCAATTAGCCAACATATAGTACATCATCAGTTTTTGACGTAGTGGTCAGTGCTTCATTAGTTGCGTACTGCGTCTTGCCTGTAAGAACGTGATCACCACCAGCACCCTGCCTGCTGACCAGCGGCTGGTCTGCGGCTTGTTTCAGGAGACTGAAGGCTACTCGGGCTCAGACATTAAGCTCGTCTGCAGGGAAGCAGCCATGCGGCCTATGAGGAAGATCTTCAGTGCACTTGAAAATCACCAGTCAGGTATGGTGGGAGTCACAGCGACTCTGGGAAAGAAATTTGTTTAAAAACCCAACTTTCACCAGCAGATGGAGCCTTGCTCCTGTTCTTGGTGGCTCTTCGCACTTGGAAACGGTTCTTTGGTCAAATTGTCCATGTACTCATTTCTCCTCTGGTGTTCTGTTTTGGATCAACTTTGCCCCAGATGATAAACTCCTTAGGGCTCGGGCTTTTCTTTGGCACACTATGATGTTGGGCTGGATCCATGTGGGGCACTATATAACTCTTAAACACTACTTTGATAATGATACATTTAAGTCATATTTTTTATCTGGGCTTCAGGGGCTGAGTTGCACATTAAAGAATTTCTTCCCCAGCTCTCTTTAGTCTTGCCTTTTGCTGCATTAACCATTAAGAATGCTGCATTATGCATTGTCTTGAAAAAAGGTCTATTAGCTTTTCAAGAGCACAGATCATCATAAGGTCAATTATTGTGCTGTTACTGCTGTGTTTTTATCTAGAGAGCAGCAACTTACCTGGAATACAGCTGGATACAGTGACCACTGCTGACTTCTTAGATGTGCTAGCTCACACCAAACCTTCAGCAAAGAATCTGACTCAGAGATACTCAGCCTGGCAAAGTGAGTTTGAGTCTGTATGAAATCACATCTACCCTGACCTGGCCACAGAGACAACCACAGAGGCCTTCCGATTTATTAGTGTAAGCAGGAGAAGAACATGATGATTGGGAGAGAAAAGAGAAAATTATCCTTGAAGACTGAGTTCGTTTGAATAACTGTACTATTTTGGAAATGAGAGATATTTTTGTTAATTTTTCCTGATTGATGCCCACAAAATACTGAAGATGTCAATTACAGGTGTATATGCTACTAGTCACACAACGGAGACTTTTCTCACACTTAGACTCCATACAATTTGATCAACAGTTTCTTACGGTGCTCCTTGCTTGTGAATTGGTATTTTCATTTTGAAGAAAAAGATGTAGTTTGGGAAGGTGTGTTGGAATGCACAGTGGCTCCGAGTTGGGGGGCCCATTAGAAGCGAAGCGTGACAGACCATCCGACCAGCAGATGGGGTTGAGGGTTGGTTAAGAATAGGCGCGGGGAAGGACACACAGCGTTTCTTCTGACAACATCCTGAGTGTCATCAGCTCTCCCTAACTCTGACCCCAACCAGTTTTCTCAGCAGCAAAGCCCTAGCAGACTAGCTCCCCCCGCCCCCACCGCCACCCCCGGCCCCGGGGTCGCTGCTCCACATCAGGGGAGGAGCATGTGGAGTCTCAAGCTAGCAGCACACCACCACCAGCCTCCAGCCTGAGCTTCCAGTCTGAGTTCTGGCTCCCAGTAACATCTCTGGACAGTTCACATCCCATGTGCTCTGCCCTCTTCCCATTGCCACAGCTCCTCGGTGGATCCAAAGCTTAGGATGGGGAACCTGAGATTCAGAACAGTCATCCTGAGTCTTCCTCACTCTTAGTCTCTCCTACATCTCCTTATGGGGTTGTTAACAGTTGGAAGCATCTCCCTCAGAAACTCATAATCTGAACCATCTATTTTCAACCCCTGAAAAATGCTGCTAAGTGACGCCACCACCCCTCTTCCCAGCTAGAACTTACCTGTGGTTGTCCCCCCCTTCTTCCCTCCCTCACCTCATTTTCTTCATCCCAGCAAGGCACACTCCTCCTCCGAAGAAAAACTTGCAGGAAAAGGGACAATTTGGATAGCTAAATATTCCAAAGGATTACCCTAATTTTAAACAAAAACAAAGCATTTTGGGGAGGGTACTATTTTGAGCAGAATATCCTCAAATGCCTTTTAAAATGCCATTTCATGGGCAATGTAGTCAAACTGGAAATATACCACATATAGTGAATTAAAAATAAACAAAAAGACATTTCATCTTAGTATATACTAAACTCAAGCTTCTTTATGATCATGAAGGTCTTAACACTATCCAACACTAGCTCTACCCTAGATGTAGAAATCTCTAAATGGTCTCAGACATCTGCTTCTCATGTTTTGGGATCATTTCCTCTTTTCTTTCTCTTTCTTTCTCCCTTCCTTCCTTCTAAGATTTTATTTATTTGTCAGAGAGAGAGAGAGACAGAGGGCAAGCACAAGCAGGGGGAGCGGCAGGCAGAAGGAGAAGCAGGCTCCCCGCTGAGCAGGGAGCCCGATGTGGGACTCGATCCCAGGACCCTGGGATCATGACCTGAGCCGAAGGCAGACGTTTAACCGACTGAGCCACCCAGGTGTCCCAGGGTCATTTTCTTTGTCAGGCTGTCAGCGGACATTCCTTGCAGCTGTTAGTCCATTAGCTTGAGGCCACTAGCATCCTTTCTGATTTCATAAAATCTCAAGCAGATGGAACCTCAACCGTTGTTAATTTGTCGTGGTTGGAAAGTAGGTATGTTTGTGCGTGTATACCTAAAGGTGAACAGCTTTTGGATAGCATGCTTTTTGACAATGGCCCCTTTTAGCTTACTGCTCTTTCCTTACTCCAGTCAGGGTAAGCGTGGTTTTGCTATCCCTCACAGCAAATACACACAATCCCACGCACAGCTATGTACCTGACACACCTCCACATCCTTCCTCCATTCCTCCTAAGAATCTCCAAGTTCATCTTTGTCATACTTCCATCTTACTCAATCGCATATTCAATCCTCCTCTTTCCCTTGGGAAGTTTGTCTCCAAATAATTATGCAAGTATGTTTGTAGGTCATGCTTTTATTTCAGTGACTTCTTTATCTGTTTTATACACTATCTAATGACTTCTTGCTTTGGATGAAATGAAATGTAGCTCTTTCATCCCTCTGCCGCATCCCCATCATCGCCAAATAGTTATGATTTTAGGTTTACTCAATAATCGGTATTTCTATGGGAATGTATACTGTTCATGCAGAGCCACTAGTGAATCAAAATTACATTTCCTGTATATGTTGGTTTTGTCTTTCCAGGAATTAATTGCCTTATTTTATCATTTGCTTAATTTTTGAAGTATCTCTTCTGATTTTTTGCAACTCAGTCTCAGATCTGTCAGATACCTATCAGCATTGGTTTCCAAATGGCCAATATCAGATACACTGTCAATTCCATTCCCATACCCTCTGGTCCTGGTGTTTTAATGGGAAAGGAACCAAGAACCCATACAGAATAAGAACCCTTACAGAATAAGCAGAGATGTACCTAGTCTCCCCATTTGCAGTCCTGTAGCTCACCCTGGCTCACCACCATGCCCACTCTCCCCAAGGCCTTCACTTTCATGGCTCCTGGGTCTCCAACCATTTTGTTTAGCAGCTTCAAACTAAATCTTTGCTTCTCAGTGCTACCTCACACCTCACCTCCTCTCTACCTAGTCTCCAAGACTTCAATCTTTGAGGTTCTATAGGATGAGTTTTGGTTGTCTTTCTTTGCACAGATTTTGTTATCCACAACCTAACCACTTCCATCCTTCAAGTTATTGTACCCTCTTGTCCACTGGTATATCTCCTCTTGTGGGCTCCCCTTATGAGTTTATACCTTCTTTATTCCTTCACTTTGATTTTAGTGGGGCTCTGAGAAAGAGAGACCAACTAAGACACGTGATTAGTTTACGTTCAGAGTCTGTATTATTTAAAAAGTAGATTAGAAGTATATCCAAGTTTATAGGGATACAGGAGCCTGGCCTACTGCTGGAGGAAAATTCAACTTCATCCAACATGTGTTATGTTCTCCTAAAGCAGAAGTCACAATGTCTGTAGGAACTTGGAACACAGTAACACATGGGTAGAGTGAGCTGGGTGTACAACGAGGAAGAGGTGGGGCTGTGATGGAGGGTCAGACTACCTGAATGACACAGCAGTGGTGCGGCTCCCACCCAACTTAGAGATTTGGACCAACATTGCCAGATCTTGTAGTATTCCTAGGAAAACCAGTAGCAACTCATTTGCATTTGAGATCTCCTGATACCCAGATGTCGGCCACTAAGGTTAAGTATCTAGGTTAGAATTCATGGCTTGTCCCTGCATTTCATTCAGGTCACCATCAGAAGCCTTCTCAGCTGGACTCTACTTATCTAAAATAACCCCCTCCCTCGTTTTCTTGTCCCTCACGGAGCCATACGGCCATTGTGTTAAGTAGTGTGTGTATGTTTTATTGTCCGTTTACCCCACCCAAGCGTAAGCCCTATGGTTGTGGTACTTTTGTCACTGCCACTGAATGAATGCAACATTCTTTAAAATGAGCACTGTATCTGCTTCACAGGCTAGAAGCTGTGATTACTGTCCCAAAGCACTTAGTTCACTGTACATGACCTCTTCTCTGAGAGGACTTCTACAACACACCTTGAACTTGTCAGAGCCTTTTGGACTGTTGGACCCTTGGACTGTATAAAAACGTATTTTTATATGCTTTGACTTCCCAACTAGAAGATATGCATCTTGGGAACTGGAGCTACACTCTGCTCTGTCTTCCTTTGTACTTTACCCATAGTTGGCATTTAATAATTTGGTTTTCTCAGGCACATTAGCCAGTGAAACAAACAGGAGTTAGAGATGTGTAGGACATGAAGGTAAGCACTGAAGAGAGTAAGGTATTCAAAATTGTTGGATTTTAACAATTACATAATTTAAATGATAAAATGATTTCTGGTGCTCTGGTGTCTTGTTTTGGTTGTCCGTTAGAGAAGCATGCTTTGGTGTAGTCGGTCTTGATGGCTGGCATGATAAAGTCAGCAGATGTCCTATGCATTTATGCCAAAGAAAAGTTTCTGTGACTATGTCAAAGGAACCTGATAACGCAAACATGGCTTTAGTCAAGCAGCTGCTAATATGAAAAAGGGATTCTGCTGTTTGAAGCAGAGTATTTTAATGAAACAGATTAGTGCGGTTTTAAAAATTCTTTACCAAAGGTGCCCAAGGCTTTCAGTTTCATCCTACATGAAATACCACTGATCTCAAACCAAATAAACAACCTGTGCATGTGTTTTTGACTTCCTGGTCCAAAACGGTCATTTCTGAATGTGGGGTTAAGAGTGAGGTGATGAGGGGCGCCTGGGTGGCTCAGTCGTTAAGCGTCTGCCTTCGGCTCAGGTCATGATCCCAGGGTCTCGGGATCGAGCCCCGCATCGGGCTCCCTGCTCTGCGGGAAGCCCGCTTCTCCCTCTCCTACTTCCCCTGCTTGTGTTCCCTCTCTCACTGTGTCTCTCTCTGTCAAATAAATGGATAAAATCTTTAAAAAAAAAAAAAAAGTGAGATGATGACACTATCCTTCCAAAGTAGTTTCTGACATCCGTGGCTACAGGTGTTCAACGGCCCCGATCAGCTCTGACAGATGCAGAATGGTGTGTAGGAAGAACTACAGCAAAACGAGCCAATTCTGGAGGGAGGAGAGGGAAGTGGTGGGCTAGCCATCTGTCTCCGCCACTGGACTGGTGCTCTGCCTTCCACACCCAGGACACACCTGCCTTACAGCAGATGCTCAGTACTCCTCTCCTGATAATGGGTGTTCTTTACTACCCTTTCCAGTCCCAAAATAGCACTTGGTCCCTTTTCTGGGCCTAGCAGAGGATTATAGTAAAACTGATGCAAACACTGTCCTCGAGGTCATACCACTGGAAAGCACTGTAATTGGGATGGCTAGAAAAACAAAGTCTTTTCGGTACTTTGGTTATTAAATCTCCTCCGTGAGGCCCAAGGCAGACCAACCAGCTATGCTGGGAATGTTTATCGTAACCTGAATCTAAAACCAGATTTTTATTTATCCTCCTGAACCTCACTGTGGACAGGTCAGTTAACAAGCCCTATATGATGCTTGTTAAATAAGTAAAACATGAAACAAAAATTTTAATGGCCCAATACGGCCAAACTAGAACGGAGGAAAGAAGCCATTTCTCTTGGCCAAGGACCTGAGGCTCATGTGGTCTTACCTATTCCTGTCACTCTGATTCCTGAACCCATTAGTGATGTCTACCTCTTTGCTTTACCTCCAACCTGTCTCTAAGGCATCAGATCCATTATTTCTGAGTGTCTAACGGGGCCTCCTCTGTGGGCAACGAGTCTAAAATTAAACTTAATTTTCTCCTCCCTACTCATAGCTATACCTTCTGACATGAAATTCCTATAGTATTTACAGCTAGTTTGTACTGGTTCACTAACCATCTGAGTAAGAACTATCTGTGTTGCAGGAGATATAAAAAAGACCGAGCCACAGTCC